AAAAAAAAAAATGAAAAGTAAATAAGTACAAAAACACAAGTAAACAGTCGATTGATCGACTGCGCCATACGCTGTTGCGCAGTCAAAGACAACAAAGATGGATTCGAGGGAAGAGAAATAGTGGGAAATGTAGCTAAAGGGTATAAATCGAAAGTCTGCGGAGTGGGCGGGGTCAATGCGATGTGAGGCGGAACTTGTGCTCTGAGAAAAAGGAGGGAAATGGAGGAAAAGGCCGTCACAAACATGCGAATAGACTTTTTGGTGCTGATAAAGATAGGGAACAAGATTTTGGGAATGCATTCCAAAATGTTACAAGATTCCTTTCAATTAAGATATGCCCTCTTTGCACACATTTAGAGAGAGATCTTTTCGGGCAACCAAAAAAAGAAGTTGGGTTCTCAGCTTTGGCTTAAAGCCAGGCAAAACGGGCAACAGGCAACAGTTAGCGAGGCATTTGCCAATGCCAGAAGCGAACTCAGAGTCGAAGTCGAAGTCGAAGTCGGAGTCGGAGTTGAAGAGGCCGCATTGGGCTTTAAACCTAGTGGCCTGGCTAAAAGGTATTTCTTGCTGCCAAAAACTGAAAAACCAGTTTTTGCATGTGTTTTATTTTTTGTCTTTTTTCTTAATCAACTGAACGTGCGAGTAAAGCTTGCCCGAGTGTGTGTGTGTGTGTGTGTGTGTGTGTGTGCGTGTGTGTGTGTGTAGGCTTGGGTGATTGCCACACACAGAAAACGCATTGTGCTTTGTCATTACTTGCCTTGGCCATATGGAAAAGCTCCCTCTCTCCCTCTCTCGCTCTCTCTCTCTCTCTCTCTCCTCTTCATTTTGTGTTACGGTCACGAACAAATTTGTGGAAGGAAATGAAAATTAACTTTAAGTTGCTTTTGGTTTTGTGTCAGATTCGAAGAAGAAGAAGAAGAGGTTGAGGAAGAAGAAGAAGAAGAAAAAGATCGAGTGGGGCGCACTGGAAATTTTGTAATTCCCAATTGGAAACGTGTTTCAACAAAGATTACAACAACAAAAAATCGAAATACTTTGAAAATTATTCACGTGCATCTTTTTCTGTTTCTTTATTTTCTGTCTCCTTTAACATATTGAAATATTGTTTTTTATGTTTTTTTCTTGTCTCTCTTGTTTTTTTTTTTTTTAATATATATTAACTGCATTTTGTTCCGTTGCGCGAGGTAATTCCACGTCTGCGCCTCAACAAAAAAATGTGGCTCGTTTTTCGTTGTACTCTGAACCCATTGAAAATGGCTAAGAAAAAAAGGGGCATTTATGTAACAGGCATACCCCATCAAGTATATATATATATATATATATATTCCTAGCCATCATCAATATCCACAACGATCTCTGTAGAACATAAGAGTTTGAGGCATGGAAATTCTTAAAGGGAAGAAGTTCAGATGCATTAGGGATATTCTTCAGTCGAGTTTAGGGTATCTGCCAGTCTGCTACTCCCCACTGGGGGTTTTTTTTATGTTTTGCCGCTGCGAAGACGTTGCATATTAATGGACATCATTCCAGCCTGGTCGACTTCGTTTGGTTCCGTTCGTTTTGTTAAGGAATTGAGTTTTGCGGCAATGTGGAATGCGCAGCCGGGTGAAAGTTTGCTTTTTTATGCTCCTTTCAACGTCGGCATTGACTTATGTAATTCTTCGTTTTTCAGCAAAAATAACATACCCTCTGCAAAGTGAAACAAACAGCGAATGTCGCTTAAATTGATCGAGGCGAAGCGTTGAATAGAACTAGTTTAAGTGCGAATAAGCCTTCATTCATGTGCTTTGTCTGCATGTATGTCAGTATATATATATATATATATATATTTATATATTTATACATATCTGACAAAGTGTACCGAAGCGAAGAGAAGGTTTGTCAACGGCAAATTGAATATAGCTCTGCACAGGGTATCTGCTAGTCGTGCTGTTCGGTTTGTGGCACTCATGATGTGGGTTTTATTTTATATGTGTCTCATATCTGGCGCATCCTTCTTTGGAGTCGTGTTGTCGAATCTGTTAATAAGAGGACTGCAGACGGCATGTTACGTATACGCCGAGTAAACGGGGTCAAATTGCGGCATATGTGAGCGAATGCCATAAAATGCTGCCATTCAAATTGTAAAAAAATCTTAAAAAAAAAAACAGAATAGAAGAAGAAACATAAAACAAGAGAATGTTTCAATAAGTTGTAAATAAAATTCAAAAATCAAATAGAAATATATTTAAAAATAAAATAAAATAAATAATAAATAAAAAAAAATTATTAAAAAATATACAATAAAAAATAAATAAAATAATATATAAATAACAATAAAAAATTTAAAAAAAAATATACATAAATTAAATAAAAAAAATGAGGATAAATATACAAAAAACATGAAAATATATAATAAATTATACAATGAGGATAAATATAAAAATAAAATAAAACAGTATAATATGCATATGCATACAATATATATATATATGTATGTGTATAAAATAAAAAATAAAAAACAAGAGAAATAGGAAACAAAAACACGTCATATTAAAACTGTGTCATGAACAAATGCAACAACAGAAACCCACAAATAATTGAGAGCACAGAGGAGACGAGCAAACATACAACAATGAAATATAAGAAAAAGAAACAACAACAAAAGACAACAACGAAAAAGAAACTGAGCGCAACTGAACATAAAAACGTCTCGAAGAATGAAAAACCAAAACTCCAAATATGTAGCTGCCAGTTGAGTAAATGAAGTAAAAAGTTGTTACCAATTACAAAACACAGCAACAGCTTTAACGCAAAGCTTAGCGCTTTCATAATATGGGTAGCTTTAACGGTGCTATATCCGATAGAATGAGTCGATCCGACCGTCGTCTACAGTGGCCCAAAAGCTGTGTTAAAAAAGTTTCACTTTCGCTTTCAGCGCAGTTTGAATTTTAATGCAGTGTTAACAGCGACAACAGCAACAACAGCAACAACAACAGCAGCAGCAGCAAAAAGGGGGGCACTAAGTCAAGCCAAGCAAAGCAAAGCAAGAAGCTCGCATAAAAATGAGAGCGCGAGCTCGCGCGCATTGAAAGTGAAACTGGCTCCCACTCACACACACACACACACACACACACACACACACACACACACACACACACACACACACATATACGTAAACATACACAAGTGGCGCATACGTAATATCGCAATGTGCCCGATGAGAGCGAGAGTAAAGCGCTGCCTGCGCCGACTGCGCTGTCGCTGCAAGCGACAACGTAGCAGCAGAAGCAGCAGCAGCGGCAGCGGCAGCGCTTTAGTGTATGGCGGGTATCCTCGCCGTTTGCTTGGGTTTAGTCAATCGAGATACGTGGTTGATGTTGGTCGTGTTTTTCGCATAGCAAAATAACCTACATATAAAAAGCAAAAAAAAAAAAAAATTATAATTCATATACATAGTATATGTTACATATGCCAAACAACAACAGCGAGTGTGCTTGTTGACGACAAATGTGTGTGTGTGAGTGTGTGTACAGAAATCACAATAGTATTGCGCTTGCATTTGGCCTAAATGACAACACAACAATCTACCAATCAACAAATACATCAATATATCAATAATACAAATAATAACAAAACAAAATATTGCATACGCTTCTCTTACCACTTTCCACGGCATTTCGCACCCACAGCAGGAACAGCCCAAGGATTATGTTCTCTCTGCTCTGGTGCGTTGTGTCTGTTCGCTGAGAAAGTTGAAGTTGAAGGAGAGCAATGCAACATTTTTGTTGTCTAAAATGCAAAACAAGAAGCCGCCAGCCAAATGAATAAATCATAAAACTGTGCAACCCCAGCCCCCTACTACCCCCCCCCATATGCAGTGTTGAAAAACGCAGAAAGAAAAATACTACAATAGAAAATACCAACGCAAAAATCAAATCAAGCTTAAATCGGATACAATTGTTTCTAAACAACAAAACAGCACAAGTTCTACAAAGTATACAAAAATATAAGTTGAAAAGCCCTACCTCCTTACCAGGCGACAAATATACCCTATTTTACGTGCATATATCTTCACACTCACCTCGTAAAAGTACCTGCAAAAAAAAAATAAAAAACACATCAAGTTAATTTTAAATAAATTTCTACAAGTGAAATCTATATACATATATAAAAAAAAATATTTTTAAAAATTTATAAAGTTCTAAAACAAAACAACAATCAATTAAATTAATTTAAAATATATTCAAATTTCATAACTTTCAAATAAAATTAATAAAAATGCTAAAAAGTTAATTTGTGCTGCTCGAAAATGTTGCTCATAAAAATGCATCAACAGTTAATTACAAGGGCCAGACCACCGTATGTTAACAAACATAACAGCAACATTATGCAAAAATATAAATAGATATTATAAAAAACGAAAACTCAAATTGTTAACAATAAAGTGAAGAAAAGAATATAAAAAAATCTAAATAAATAAATCAAATAAAAGGGCAACAATCTATTGCTACCGTCCAATCTAACAAACACAACAACAAGAACAAGTTAAAGCAACAGCTCGGTCTTTCTGTTAAAATTCAATGAAATGTTATTAGAAATGGATCCACAACAGGCGACTGTACAGTTTATATCGTCGCTGAATCTGTCGCCGTTTAGCATGCAGCTCGACCAGCAGCAGCCCGCGAGTCCGGCGCAGAGCAACACCAACAATAACAGTGGCAATAACAGCAGCAGCAACAACAACAACGATAACGATACAAACGCTTTGAGTAATTCCGATAACGATTACAGCGCCTACACGCTGCAATTGGGCAATCATCAGCAGCAGCAACAACAACATCACACGCATCACCAGCAACAGCAACAACAACAACAACATTACCAACAACAACAACAGCAGCAGCAGCAGCAACAACAACAAAATATTGCCAGCAACAATACGAATGCCGCGAACCAATTCAACGCCTCCTCTTACTCGTATATATACAATTTCGATTCACAGTATATATTTCCGACAGGGTATCAGGAAACGAACTCATCTCATTCACAGCAAAGCGGCAATGGAGCTGGCAACGCGGCGGCTGGCAACTCTGGCCAGCTGCTGAACGGCAGCAGCGGCGCTGCGGGCAACGGTTATATGCTGCTGCCGCCGGGCGCTGGCGGCGCCTCGGCTGCGCATATGTCCGGCAGCGTGGGCGGCAGCGGTGCGTCGGGCGGTGCGGGCGGCGCTGGTGGGGGTCATCATGGCGGCACGAGCGCCAGCTCTGGCGGCGGCGAGGCCATCGACTTTAAGCATCTGTTCGAAGAGCTGTGCCCCGTCTGCGGCGACAAGGTGAGCGGCTATCATTACGGCCTGCTCACCTGCGAGTCCTGCAAGGGCTTCTTCAAGCGCACCGTTCAAAACAAAAAGGTCTACACTTGCGTTGCGGAGCGCTCCTGCCACATCGATAAGACGCAGCGCAAACGTTGTCCCTATTGTCGATTCCAAAAGTGCCTGGAGGTGGGCATGAAACTAGAAGGTAAGTCAACCAAATCATATTATTTCCGGGGTTCACACAACCTTTCTTTGAACTTCCCTACGGAATATAATCTTACAAATAGTAATCTATGCTTTCAAGGGTTTCTATATATCAACTATAAGTAACATTTTTAATGGAATCTGTCGAGGATTTCAAGGATTTTCGTTTTCAAAAATTCCTTAGGGCAAAGTTCCTAAGGCAATCTTGCTTTTATATCCAAAATTTGTCCTCATGGAATACAGTTCTATTCGATATCAGCCCATAAATAACCCATTTTATTTTCTTTTTCAGAGAGTTTTTCCTTTAAGCCTTCATACGTTAGTTAACATCTTTTAGTATGGGTTAACTTATTTTAAATTCTGTACATGAGTTAATTGAGGATCTGGAGGATCTGGAGCAGGTGGGAAGTATGTCTTAGATTGGGGATTTACTTGGCTTGGCTTGGTTTCCCGATCTATGTGATGTATTTTTATTGGGTTTTCTCAAATTTCCCCCTATTATTTGGCCAAACTTAAAATACCTTCAATTAAAGCACTACGTGTCCTTCAACACATTCCCTGCAGTTCCTTGCAATTAGTACCTCTTGCCTTACCCCACCAAATCTCAATTAATTGCAAATTAGCATTTCCCATAAACGGAACATATGTTAATATATACATACGATAAACGACAGCTGCAAACGATTCGCGACCATTTTAAATTTAAATCGATATGCGTTATTATTTATAAATGCGCACAAAATAAGTACATGAAAGCATCAATTGAGCCCAGTGAAACTCAAGGGAAATTGATTTTCTTTCGTAATTGGAACGTTTTTAAGTGTCACCCAAAACTTGTTTTTTGGCCCAAATTCGTTTCATTTCACAGATTTGAACTCAATTTTCGCTCCACTGTTCGCAATTTTGCGATTATTCTGTCGAATTATACATATTTTCTGTATGAATTTCTGTTCTGACGTATTCCAGACCTATCCCAAGTTTCGCCAAACAAAGGTAAATAAAATCGTATAAAACCCGAAAAAGAGCGAGCGAAACAAAAAGTTTGAGTTTTGTTTTTATTTTTATTTATTTTTGTTTTTTGTATTTCGCTCTGTCTTTATTTTCCTCTCACAATCCAAAGTTTGCTCAATAACGGCTTTAATTTATTCTCGCTCTCTCTCTCTCGCTCTCTCTCTCGCTTTTGCTCTCTTTTCGCCCGCTGCTTTTGGGATTTGTTCTTTAATCTCGTTTCGGTTGTTATTTTTGCGCTTTTCTGGTTAATTTTCAAAATAGAGTCCTGTTTAGCAATAAGGTAAAATAAACTGAGACTGCCCGACTGGCAGTTACTCTGTACTCTGACTTTGTTGCATACACAACTCAGTTAACAGCTGTGCCTGTTCCCTGGCCACGCTCTTTGTCAAAAATCGATACTTATCGATTCGGATGAAGCCAAGGTGGGTTTAATTGGATTTTTGTAGGGTATACAAGGGCTTACAGTTATTATGGTGTTAGTTTATAACATATTGTCGAACCAGACTAGATCGCCTGTTTAGGAAACTCGGCCTCTTCTACGTCTTGCCTGCCTAGCTACCCATTTTCCACGTGTACAGGGTATACACTTGTATAGGCTAAAGCTTTCTAACTGCTGAGCTTCTGCTTCTGCTGCTGTGAGCTGTGCCTCATCATTGAGATGAGTGTTCGCTTTAAGCTTTTGAATCATTCGTTCCCTTCTCTCTCCGGCTCTTCCCACCCTTCACTCTTTCACTCTTCTGTGTGTGCGTTTCTTTTAACACTTTGTATACGTTGAATATGCCGCGTGCGAATATTGATGTAACAGGCAGAAGAGAGTACGACTCGCTGTGGCGATCTTGCTCTAAACCTTTAGATCTATGATAACTATTGATTCTTCAATATAGATATATGTCGCTTTCAGAAGAACGTTCTTTTAGGAGCTATTGGCACCTAATTTGATATATAAATATATTTGTTTCTAATGCGCGCAGATCAATCACAATTCAGGGAATACCTTTCCCTTTTTCCCCAAACTAACGCCTGTCTCTCTCCTTCATACAAGTACTTAGTCTGTTACTTGATCTATTTAAAGTGCTATTCATGATAAAAGCTTAAAAACTCAGAAACTTTGCATGGCAACAGACTAACATGGTTATATAGCTCTTCAAGCACTGATAAATCGGATTATAAACAACGATTTGCATCAAACTGGCATTTACATTAGGTAAGAAGAAGCACATCCACTGCAAAAATGCCCAGTTTATATCAAAGACGCAGCAAAGCCGACAACTCGAGCTGTCTGTGATGTCTACAGGGTATCTGCCAGTCATGCCTAGAGCGCATTCAATTGCCCGTTAGTTTTCAGTTAACTCATATGCTTCGCGCAATTTTTTTTCGCTCTATAATGTATACGCCTATTTGGACATAGTGTGCGGCCTAAATGGGCCATGGCACGGCCGTTGGGCCAAGGAGCTGGCGGGAAGGGGCAACAATTGACAACAAACAGCCGTGAATTATTATGCAAAACACTTTTAGAGTATCGAGTGTGTAAGAGTGTTGAAATAATATGCGGGCAATCGGGCTGCGTCCAAAGTGGGGAATAAAAAAAAAACGTCTGTAAGTGAGAAATATTTAAGGTAACATGTAGGCCGGTAGGAGGGGAGGGGGGAGCACTGAGGGGATTACACTCCATTTTAATATTTATCATCATCCTCATCATCATATATTATTTTACTCCACATAACAATTTGTTGTAAACAGATGTGTTCGGTTTTCGGCTGTGGAACGTCTTATATAAGACGAACCCATGTTTGTTTATAGCTTTCCCTAAGGTATTTCAGTTTTCAATTATGTTCCCAACTCTATACAGTACATTTTCGAACAGTGGAGAGTTATTCTGTCAGCTGGAGATAACTCTCCAGTTATCGTTAAATATTTCAATTTTCATTTACAGTCTGATAATATTTCTTTATAAACACTCAAAAAAAAAGTGTATAAAAGACTTTATTTTGCTTACCAATTGCGATTATTTTCCATATTTTTTCAATTATTTTTTTTTTATGCATTTCTCTGTAAGTTAGTCTTGAAGTTAATTTGTTTATTATTTTGCACTGATTCCGACAATTAATCAAAAATTATGTTTCTATTTTCTTCTTGACTTTCATAAATATGGGTTAGGATCTTTAAACTAACTTCGGCTAATACACGCCTGGGATCTGAGATAATACTCATTGTGTAGAAAATGCGAATTATTTTTTATTGTTTCTAGTTTGATCGATCGTTTTTATGCTTGCAAACTAACTGCGAATATTCGCCATGTTCGAGCATAAAACAAAGATTAGTTTGCATAAAAACCGAAAGTTAAACGCACAAAATATATTTATTTATGAGGTGGAAAATGTCTTCTTCAATGCGTAACACATTTCATGAAAAATTTATAGTGCTCCGCAAGGGTACAAAAAAAAAAACAAAAAAGAATGTAGTCAAAAAATTGGTTTTGTTTTTCATTTGCCTTCTCTCCAAAGCACACAGAGAGGGAGAGGGAGAGGGAGAGCGTGAGAGCGAGAGAGATGGCAGCGCGCTTGCTCTCTCGCATTTATACACACATATTGCTCGCAAATAAGTTTATTTGTAATGTGCATATGTATGTAGTTAGGCGTGTTGCCATCTCGTTTGCACATTGGCGCGATTGGCCCCATAGTGCCGTCTCTTGCGCTCATGACCTAGATTCCGCAGCGTGGCTGTGTGCGTGCACGTGATATATAAATATAAACTGGCGTCTGTGTTTGTGCAATCAATGCAACATGTAGAGAGCGCTGCGCTGCGCTGCGTCGCGTTGCGCTGTGCTGTTTTTTGTACATGGGGCTGTCGTTGTGCACGTTTTCTGGCTTTTATTTTTATATTCTGTTCGCAGTTGGCAGAAGAGTATATTGGTTTGGTGATTTGCAACTTGTTGTGTATAGATGCAGGTCAAATAAGATTTCGGCTTTGCTAGGTCAGGTTCATTAAAATTGTATCGATAAGTTGAATATCGATTAACACGCATTTTTAGCATGTTTTGGCATAGGTACGGCAATGCAGAGCTGAGTACAGGGTATCCCCTAGTCGTGACGCTCATGTTGTGCACTCTGCTTTGTTAATACTCACTGAGTTATTTTGAACGTTTTTGCCAGTGTGGTCACTCGTTCCGTCCTTGCGTTTTTTTTTTTTTGCTGCTGCTGCTGCGCTGCCGCCTCTGCTAGCGCCAACGCCAACGCCGACGTCGTCGTCATCGTCGTCGCTATGACAACTCTGTCGTAATCTCTTGACGCTTTCGTCAGCAGCAGTAGCATTGAGCGCCTTCGCTGTGCTCTTTGCCAAGCGCAACGCTTTTATAATTGCGGCACTTTTGTTGCTGGCAGCTTTGCTTTTGCTGTTTTGTTTTTACTTAAACTTCAGCCCGGTTTGGCTCAGTGCCTACGTTTTGCCAAACTCGTCATGATAACTGCCGCTGTAATCGAATGAGAGTGACTCACATGGGAAACTTGTTGTTGTTGTTGTCGCTGTTGTTGTTGTTTCTCTCTTTTGTTGTTGCTTGAATTTTGTATTTTATCTATATGTGCGTCTTGGAAATACACCCTGTAACTGTTTCGGTTTGAACAGTTGAACACATGAGTACACTGACGAGTCTCTGAGCAAAGTGAAAAAGTGAATCAGACCTCATGGCAATACGATGAACGAATTGCTAAACCCAGCTTAGACTTGGCTTTATGTAACTCGTGTCAGTCTCAAATATATTTGTGGGCTTATTGAATCTATACACACATGTAATTTTGACTTGTACGATCTGAAAGGAATATGACGAAAAAAAAAAAAGAAGCCATGTAAAATTCAGAAAGAGGCAAGTCCAACCGCATTAAGTATATTTCTACTTGATCAGGACAACAAGTTGAGTCGACTAAGCCATGACAGTCTGTTTAAACTGAACTAAAACTTGCTGTTTGATAAATGCATCCTTCTATACGTTCCATTTTTAAAATATCGATAGAAATGGATTCTGGAACTGTTTGCCCCAAAATTTGGTATGTAAGATTTCGTATAGTATGCATAGCAAAAGCAGGAATATTTGTTTATAGTTTTATGTTTCCCCCCGTTTCACTCATATTTACAAAAATACTTCTTTTTGCATATGCATGAACTGAAAGTTTCATAAAGATCGGACAACAAACACCGATGCTGATAAGCGAATAAGGATAGAATTGGCCCAGCTGCTGCGTAGACTGCGCGACGTATTTTTCTGTGTTCATAAAAGCAAGTTTATTAGTCGGGTCCTTTCTACGTTGATATAACTTTGCTTTGTTGGAATTACCAACAGAATGTGATGCTTAGTTAGATTGAACACATATATATATATCTATGCATATGCTATTTATATAATAAACTAATGTTGATAATTGAATTGCCTTAAAGATAATACAATTGCTTTAACAATATTAAAGTGGCTATCTCAGAAAGTCAACTTCATTAATAATCCTTCATTATCAGATAACCTAATCAATTTATACACTAACATGTAAAAGTTAAGTCCCATTCTAATTATTCATTTAGCTCATCCCATCAGTTCTCTTGTATGTTGATTATCTGTTCAAAAAAGCATGGCATTCTTTTGGTAATATTTCTGGTCATATGGACCACGTTTGGTATACGCAATATGCACTTGTTCTTACTTGAAATCAATCATACGACGTGTGTGCCTAATGAAACTCTCTCTAATAGAGTTTCCTTTAAGTTGCTTATCAGCTAAATCCTTTTATTGATGTTTTTTGAGGAGGCTTATATAAGTTTATATTATTATATGTTAAGCTTGCAAGCAACTCGTGTGAACTCAATTTCCGGTCGATGGTTTCTACTGGGAACTTGATTTTCAATCGATTTTTTCTATGGGCCCGATTAAAGTTTAAGGTATCAGCCGCCGTTTAAGGCTACCTTGTAAAAATTACATTTAAATTTTATATTTCTCGTATTTCGCGCGTATACATATATATTTACACTGTCCTGCCCACACGAAGTACACACGCAACCGTTTAAAGAAGAAGATGTCCACAACTCGTGTAAACTCAACATAAATTGTCTTGGCCTAAGATGGTGCGGCCTTTGTAAGCACGCGGCGGCAAGCCACACACAGGCACACACACATAGAGTAGGTCCGACGAGCGAGCAATAAGTAAGAGTGAGAGTGTGAGTGAGAGTTTATCATCGGAATGGGGAGAGGAGCGAGAGAGAGCGAGAGCGAGAGAGTGAGAGTTTCAATCGACGACGGCAACAACAACGCGCATGTTGTCCCAGTTTCACAAAACTGTCCTTGACCTACTCCATTCAACAAAATTGTCTAATGCGGCAGAGCCGTGAGTGCCAAGTGCCAAGTGCCGAGCGCCAGTGGCCATGTCTATGTATGTATGTGTGCGTGTGAAAGAGTTGGCGAGCAAATGTCGTAATAGAAAGCTTTTCGAGTTGCCATGCCTTGGCGGGCAATAGCGTCGGCCCATGACAGCCGCAATACGCAAGCATAATGAGCGAGAGCGACTCGCTCTCTCTCTCTCTCTCTCTCTCTCTCTCTCTCTCTTGTGTTTGGCCATGTGATGTTGTGCGCTCTGCGCTGTGACGCTGGCGTTGCGCTGGCAGCGACGTTGACGTTAAAAGAGTACAAAGCGCCAATTTGTGTGCATTCGTTTTGCTGCCTCAACACACATTTGTGTGTGTAGGTCTTACATACATACATACATATATATTCACACATATACAAACACGCGCGTTGATTATTTGTAAACAATACGCTTGACCTAAATTACAGTTACTTGTTTTGAGGAGAAACAAAAACCACTGCAATTTTGTTTTGTAGCAATGCATTTGAAATGCATATTTTATGGTCTCGTTCGCATGTGTGTGTGTGTGCGAGTCCACGCGCATTTCTAAAACAACGGCACTTTCCGTACAATTACCGCAACAACTGTTTACTCTTCTGCCCTTTGAAAGGGCATCAATAATATCATATTCTCATTGAACATTAGCTATGTATGTGTGTGCATGTATATTTTTTTATTGATCCAATGTACATAATTAATCGGTAAGAGAGTTATTTAAGAGAATCACTTCGAAGCCCTTACGGTTAGGGTATTTCATTATCGACATGCCTTGGCTACCTGTTCCTTCTTTCCCACCTCTTCTAGTCAAGTGCGCGACGCTGCTGCATCATCCGCATTGGGGCCGCTGCATCTGTATTTGTGTCGTCTGTTTGTTTATGTTTCTGGGTGCACATGACTCCCTCACCCTCCCCTACCCTCACCTCCCGTCACACTCCGCAGAGCGACGAACTTGGCGGCATTCTTACATTGTAGCTGTTGCCATACGAAACACACATTTTCTAACGCTTTAGATTTTTCTATGTATGTGTGTATGTATATGCATATGTATATGTATTTTTGAACGACACAAAAACATATGCAAATACACACATATATATTCTCTTACTTGTATGGCATTGCTGAAAATCCACACTATGCTAAAGTTCGATATATTGGAATTTTTTCAAAAAGATCCTTCCGAAAGGGAAAGATTTCTCAGTTCAAAAAGAATATATATATTTCATAATTGTCCTGTCACGTAACAATTAAACAGCAATAGAAGGGCTGTGACATATTGGAATCGAGAAATTTATCTCTAATATAATTTGATATGTTGTCTACATACAAGATGTTAGGCTGGTGTTTCCCACCTCCCCCCTTGCCCGGTGCAAGTTTCTCGCTTCAAAGTGTATAAATCAATTTTCCACCCGTTTTCTGCTCATGAAAAAGTGAAATACTTTCACTTCTAGAGTAATATTTCACATAGTTAGGTAAAGGCAAGGTCTTGCAGCCGAAAGATAAACTTTCGAGGGGTGGAATTTGCGAAAAGCGTGAAACGCACCTAAAATGAATTTCCACAAGATCATTGAGAATGAGTAAGAAATAGATCTGAATTTTGTTTCCACCTATTGCGGGTGGAATTTCGTTCGAAACTTGTATAAATGAAGTTTTTTTGTAGAACTCTAGGAATAAGTTTTTCTTAAATCTTCCACTCAGGAGAGATGGATTTTTCGATATATCACAAGATATCACATTATAAATAGGTTTATTTGCATATAATATTAATCCCATCCTTCGTTCGTTTTCGGTTTATTTGCAGCGGTTCGAGCGGATCGCATGCGCGGCGGTCGGAACAAATTTGGACCCATGTACAAGCGGGATCGGGCGCGCAAGCTGCAGGTGATGCGTCAGCGGCAACTGGCGCTGCAGGCGCTGCGCAGTTCGATAGGCACGGACATAAAGCCGACGCCGCTGTCGCCGGGCTATCAGCAAGCATATCCAAATATGAATATTAAGCAAGAAATTCAAATACCTCAGGTGAGTGCAAATGTTCTAGACGATCGGCTGGAACGAAACTAATGAATACCCTGTAATTTGCAGGTATCCTCACTCACGCAATCGCCGGACTCGTCGCCCAGCCCCATTGCGATCGCCTTGGGCCAGGTGAATGCAGGCGCGGGCGGTGTGATAGCCACGCCCCTGAATGCTGGCAATTTGAGCGGCGGCAACGGCAACGGCGGCAGCTCTTCGCTGGGCAATGGCAACAACAACACCAACAACAACAGCACAGGCAGCGGCAGCGGCATCGGCGGCGGGGGCGGGGGCAGTGGAGGAGGCAACAACGCCGGCGGCGGCAGCGGCAGCGGCGGCGGCGGCGGCGGAGGTGGCAGCAACAATCTCGCCGACGGCCTGCAACGCAACGGAAACAGTGGCAACAGCAACAGCAACAGCAGTTGCCACGAAACCGGACCTGGATCTCTGCAGAACACAGCCGAATCGAAATTGTGGTATTTACCTAGCCCCAGCATCCATTCATTAATGCCCAAAAGAACTGAACAATTACCGAAACTCGAAAGCGGCAAGGATCATAAAACGAATATATATATATCATTTATTATCTTTGTTCATACGAGCTGGAAAAGATCATTTATATCTTCTATTAGGAAGTTACTTGGGAGAGTAACGAATTTTAATTTGAGCCAAGAAGAAGAAGAAGTATCTCGTTTCTTTCTTGCTTCTATTAGGGATTTACTTGGGGAAATGTGGGATAAGTGTAGTTCGAAAATATTTAATACCAATTTATAGCCTATTCATTCAAAGAAGCCTTTTCCAGATATTCGAGAAAGGTGTTTCTTAGGGGTATTTCCTAAAGATCTCTCTTTAAAGATCTCTCTTTAACATTTCGCATAATATATGATCTGATGATATTTAAAAGTAGTCTTACGTAGTCTTCTCTCTTTTTGGGAGTCAAGGAGCTCTAAATCATTTGCAATTGCAAGAAATCTTCGTCTCTTTATTATTATATTTCTCTTTGTTCTCAAATTAAAGCTTTGATTCGGGCACACATCCATCGAGCACAGCCGATGCGCTCATCGAGCCACTGAGGTGAGTTGCGCGTGGCGAAAGCTGCGAGCTAAGCTTTAAGTACAGTTATTGATTTGCCCATCGTTATGTTATGTTACTTAATTCACCTCCTGCCACTGTGTGCTCTCCTGCAGGGTCTCGCCGATGATACGTGAGTTTGTGCAATCGATCGACGATCGGGAATGGCAGACGCAGCTCTTTGCGCTGCTGCAGAAGCAGACGTACAACCAGGTGGAAGTGGATCTCTTTGAGCTAATGTGCAAAGTGCTGGATCAGAATCTGTTCTCGCAAGTGGACTGGGCACGAAACACTGTCTTCTTTAAGGACTTAAAGGTATGCCGCCCTCCCACTGCCCCCGCTACCAAGCATACAACACGCTAGCGTGTATTTATTTACTTACAACAACTACGAGCACAGCCTGTCTAACAGCCACAACCAGTTTTAAAGCTAGGGGCCAAGTCTGCGAAGCATTATGTAAAACCAAAAAAAAAAAACGCAACAACAATGCAGCGGCAGCGATCCGACCGCGACCGCTACTGCGACGCCGACTGCGACAGCGACTGCTGCGATGTCGGGTGCCCAAATCTGCATTGAATTTCGATTTCATTTGGCGTCTGACCTACTTAGCAACCAAAGCTGAACCAGTCAGACGCAGACCCAGCGCCGATGACAACAGCCGAGACGCGCTGCGACGTCGACGTCGGCGTCAGCGTCGACGTTGCTCGTCAGTGACGCAACTAAGCGACGACGCGCTCAGACCGCAGCAGAGCGTGTGTGTAAGAGAGAGGTAGAGAGAGAGAGAGAGAGCGCGTGTCAAGCTACACTCAGAAAAAAGCTTAGTCGTTGACACGTTTCAAATACCCCGTATTTAAGAGATGAAAGAAGACATTGATCGACTACAATTTATGCCTGTTTATATCCAGCCTCGACTTAACATCTAGATATTGAGAATTATGAGAACTAAAGACATACAATTTGGCATTTAGTTTAGTTAGATCATATTCATGTCCAATAACTGGTAACTCCTTGCGTTTCGCCTTAAACCATATTTTCAGCATTGGGTTGACCGATATCTGAGATTTGTTTGCGATTAGCTTAGTCAAACTTATCTAACTTTGTGCATGCCATCGACTTTTTGCAGGTGGACGATCAGATGAAGCTGCTTCAGCACTCGTGGTCGGACATGCTTGTGCTGGATCATCTGCATCATCGCATACACAACGGCCTGCCGGACGAGACGCAGCTGAATAACGGTCAGGTCTTCAACCTGATGAGCCTCGGCCTGTTGGGTGTGCCACAGCTGGGCGACTACTTTAACGAGTTGCAAAATAAGCTGCAGGACCTGAAGTTCGATATGGGCGACTATGTGTGCATGAAATTCCTAATACTTTTAAATCCAGGTGAGTATTTAGTAGGAACGACAACCGTTTAGCTCTGCCATGCAACAAAATGCTACCTCTTGCAGATGTGCGTGGAATCGTGAACAAAAAGACCGTCGTGGAGGGTCACGAGAATGTGCAGGCTGCGCTGCTGGATTATACACTGACGTGTTATCCCTCGGTTAATGTAAGTAGGATGTTTGTGAGCACTTCCTAAAAACGCCGCCTCACTTGAACGTAAATAAACTCTACGTTTTGCTATTGCAGGACAAATTCAGGAGGCTGTTGAACATACTACCGGAAATTCACGCCATGGCCGCGCGGGGCGAGGAGCACCTGTACTCAAAGCACTGTGCCGGCAGTGCGCCCACGCAGACGCTGCTAATGGAGATGCTGCATGCCAAGCGGAAAGTGTAAGCGGAGCGCATTTCCACGAATAAACAAAACAGCAAAACAACAAAAACAGAAAACCAACAACAACAAAAAGCAAATGAAAAAGAAAAGAATACTTAAACATTTTATGAAATATATGTAAATAACAAAAACATAAACAAAAACAAAAGCAAACAAGCGCAAAGTTTAAAAAACAAACAAACCAACCAATCAAATCTTGATTGCTATGCGAAGAACATGAATTTTACATATATATATATATATATATATAAAGGATATATGTGAATATGTATGCATAAGGAAGAATGATCATCACTACCACCAACAACCAACTACCACATACACACATTTGTTGATTCAATGTTAATTATTATTATTATGTTAATGACTAGCTTTACCGTATGTTTAACTAATTGATTAATTTGTCTTCGTTTAAGTTGTGTTTACTTTTAGTCATGTCTCTTCTGAAGGATCTGTTCAGAATATTCAAATTCAGCTAAAATTGTGGAAAGTGCAAAAATATCTTTCTTTAGAACGTAAAGAGCATAACAAATTTTATTTTATATAAATCTATACACACACACACACACACACACACACACTCAAATATATATAGCATGATTATATATATATATATTGGGTAACCCTCCATCCCGCTCTCCCCTTGACATATTTTAACAGACTTCCTAATTTTTTTTTTATAAATGTTTTTCCTTTTATTATTCGCGCCAATTGTCTTACATAGTATTTGCGTCTACTCTAAACATAAAATATCTTAAACAGAGAACATTATTAAAACAAAATTTGTCATCTTCGTGTATAACAAAAAATTAATACTTGTACATTTTTTGTTTAAAGTTTAAGTAACTATCCAAGCAACTACCTGCAACACGGGAAACAACAATAACAAAAATCGAAAGCCAGAGCATGAAATTCTCTTTAAAGAAAAAAAAAAACCTAAAACAAAAAGAAAATACAAATTAACAAAAACAATGATTAGATATTATAAATAATTATAAACATATATCGCATAAGTTTACAAACAAATTTCGAAATGATTATAATTTTATTGTTTTAATGTTAAATGTGTAAAGCTGCTTATTTCTAAAAGAATTCAAAAATATGTTGTATTTTATTTCGGAGTAACAAAAAAAAAAAAAAATTAAAGTTTTTTTTTGTTTTTAAGCAACAAATATGCCTTTGCATATAGCCCTTAGGCGTTACAGTTAATAATTTTTATGCAAACATGCCAAATGCAAAGTAATTCAATTGGAGAATAATTTTCTGTTTTTTTTTTTTTTTATGATTTTGTGTTAAAGCCTGTTGTTCGAACCGATTTCTTTGATTTACGCCTGAAAAACCAACATCAGTACCCACTTTTTTTGTTTGTTAAAAAAAAAAACCATGTCTATAAATCTTTTAAGCTCTACAAAAGTATTTAAATTTAAAATTCGTGAAATACTTTTCAAAATTATAAGAAAAAACTTTGGGCAAAGCCAAAAGTAGGCGGGAAGCTGCAAGAAATTTAAAATGTCGTAGAAATTGTTGGCAAATATTTAAAGCGCTTGCTTGGCCTTGGTTCAAATATTTCCCATTTCCCATTAATGTAAATAACAATTAGCTTATGTTTTTGTATATTTATTTTATTTGTTGTTTTTTTTCTTTTTGTGACCTGCCTACTTAATTTGTTATGAAGCCCCCGACTTTTGACTTTGGTATTGCGCTTAAACTAAATGTACCTTATAAAATTAACAAAATAAACCCCCACACGAATACATTAATTGCAGTAAATTTAAAATCTTTTAAGGCAACATTAAATTTAGAAATGGTTGGAAAATCTATGAATGAGGATTTAAGCAGCGAGTTAAGGAAAGGTATAAGGAGAAAAGACCTTGTAGGTTGCCTAGTTATACATACTAAATAAATATTTAGATTTTTAGACGTTTATGCAACTCCTGTATGTATTGTAAAATAGATAAAATCTAAATGGAAACATTTAAAATGGGTTAGATTTCATTCTAAGAGTAATTAAATGAGCATAGGTTGGCTTAGAGTAAGATTTAAGCAGCGTTAAAGATACGTTAAACGATATGCTATATATATATATATATATGCATATGTATGTAACATATACGGTATATACATAGATATGTATATATAGATATGTATATATGCGCTGTGCATTGGCGTTCAACGTAAGTGGCAGCATGTTTTTTAAAGCTCGTTAAAAGAAAATGTATATTCTATATCTAAAGTATGGGGCATACTGTGCGTTTCTGCATGAAGTAAAAATGTGTAATGGGTCTTATTTTATAGGCAATGGCGTAGGGCAAGTTTATTGTAAAGTTAATTACGATGTGAACCTGTTATTGCAAATGAAAAGTGATTTTAATTTTTAAGCAAGTATGAAAACAAAAAAAAAAAAAATATAATATATAACTATATTATATACGTATATATATATATATATAAAAAAGAATAACAAATATAAATCAAAGTTATATGTGCATTGAAGCTTAATAAGTATATTGCAAGAACACCACACACACACACACACACAGGCACACACACCTGTTGTAAGTTTTAAATTTGTTCGAAGCAAGCAAACAGCGTTAAGCAAATCATTTAACTAGACAGAAAACAAAACTACCTAAACGAAAAAAAAAAAAAACAAAAAACAAAAAAAAAACTATATGCATAATTATGTTTATTATTACTACGTTAACGTAAAAATGTCATCTCAGAGATGTTTCAAACGAGCAACCAACCAACCAACAACAAACAAATGTAATAAAACGTAAATATAAAAAAAAAAAAAAAAACATAAAAAGGAATAGTTATTGAAATTCTCTATTGTATTAGGGAAGCATAAATTTGAGTATGCCGCAGCGATTGCTTTTATTATACGTTTAGTATACGTTGTTTAGTTATAATTAATGCATAATTTATTTGTTATATTGCTCTCAAATTGAACTTAAAATTGTCCCGTTTAGGACATGTTAAAATTCTGCGTAAAATCGTATTCAATTGTTGGTATGACGGTTTGCACAAATTTCAAAAATATAATTAAATATAAATGCACGCCCAGCTGGCCGCCGCCCTCCTCTACGGTCTGGATGATCTTCTTCATAATATCTGCATGGCGGCAGGGATGGACCGATGCCATATTGGGCCCAGGCAAATGTGGATGCGACTCCATTGTAACAGTCTTTTTGGCATGATCCTGGGAAACATCCTCGTACATTTGCTCAACGTTAAGCGGCTTGCGCTGCTCATCATAGCCGACGACCCATAATCGCGGTGTCTGGTAGTATTTATCGTATGTGATGTGCAGATCATAGGTTCGTGTGTGCAGCACGGAGTCGCCACTGCCAGCAGTCTCTCCGGCAGCAGCTCCAGCTCCAGCTGAGTTGCTGGGCAGCGTTTCGGCGTCTAGCTTGCGCGTGGTGGTGGCCACGGCGGGATCGACAAGCTCCAGCATGCCGCTCTCCTCAAATGCATCCATGTCAATGGCTTCATCATCATCCTCATTATCATCATTTGGCGCCGCAGTTGCCGGCGACGTCTTGTCGCTATCGGGCGTGTGCATTTCGTCCTGAAAGATAAAACGAATGTCTTGAGCCCATATTTGTTTGTTCGACAATATAATCAAACCTTGCTCTCATCCAGCGTCAGTTCGCATATTTTCTCATCGATTTGATTGGTGCCGTCATCGTTTAATTGATGCGTCTCCACCCAGCCGCCGTCGCCAGACTCCTCCTCCACCAGTGTCTCCTCGCCCACATACTCCATTTGCTTGCAGCGGCGATAGCACGGCACATTTCGTGTTATCAGAAACTGTTTATCTGCATTTGAATTGGCTGTGGTAAGTTTAATTAATTAATATTAGTTTCTAGTTTTTCTTTACCCTTTGGCAAGTACGGCTTTGTTTTGCTTTCATCGCCCGCCGCCCACTGCCAAGTGGGACAATGGTGGACTAAGTGGTCACCAGCTGCCACAAATTCCTCTGGTGTTAATACGCCAGTTTCGCGAAATTTCGACTCCTAATCAAAAATGAATTAGTTATAAATTGATTACAAATGCGTCGCCACTCAAACCCCGCCCGAGCGACAGATAGAGAAAACAAATGAATTGATAAGACAGAACGCACAATAGAATATTGAATTAATACATCAATATTGCAAGTGAATGCGGTCACAAATAAATAATAATTAAGCAATAAAGTTAAAGTCGAAGAAAAAGTCTTCCTTTAATTAACAAATCCTCCTCCCACTCTATCAACTCGCGTCTTTAATGAGTACCAAAAGTCAATACTTGCCTTCAAGACTGGAGTTAAATATTCTGCTACATTGAGCGCTGTGCCTTTTACAGTATTCAGCACGCTTTGCATTGTTGTTGATTTTAAGTATTTGCTTAGATTTTAAGACTACGCTAAACCCTAATGCGTTGTATATATAAATGACTGCACACCTGCACTTTCTTCTTGGTGTCTATGCGTGCACGCTATGCAACACTGTTGTCGACTCCCAACAGCTGTTTGAAGTGCTGCATAGAGTCGAAAATGTAACTATCGATATTTTATATCGCGTGCGCATGTCGTGACTGTTTAATCCGATGGAGTTTGTGCAGTTTATTAAATTTATAATTTAAGCAAGCAACAGCAAGCCGCCGCTCTATTTTGCTTAGTGTAAGTTGTACTTAGTGATGATTGCATCTGTTGTTTTGTTTTAAAGTGAGCTAATTTACTTTTCCCATTCACATTAACAGCGGTTCAATAATGACTTGCATGATGACCGCAATTTAAGCCGTTCATTCGGTGCCAGTTGGCGGCCACTGGATTCAATTTCGAGAGTAATTCGCCGCCGTATGCTCTTGTAAGTAGTTGCCAGGTATTTCAATTAGTAAATCATTTGTTTAAGTTACTAAAATTACGAATGGGCTAGCAGCCTTTCTGTTGAGGTTTATTTGTAAGCCTCACAAGGCAATACATACAAACGTGCATGATGTTTATAGACTCAAATATAACTGTAAAGTCGTTGCCTAAATATCTTTTGACGAAACAGTTCTAAACGTTCCAAGAAATAATTATAGTTTGCTTGCAAAATATGTTGTAGTTATTTATTATTAAAACTTGAAATGTAAATAGCATGTGACGTTCATCCATATTGAAATTGCATTAGAGTGCACGTAAACGCCAAGTGTGGCCGAATAATTTTTCTTGAAAAGGTCACACCATCAGCTAATCTTGCTTTTGACCATAGTTTTCAATTACTTTTTGGTCACACTGCACTTTTGGTATGGAGCAACTGTGAACATGTGATTGACGAAATATAAATCAGTTTCGGGAATCTCGCTAATATTTTCTATTGCTGTTGACTGCTACGATAACTTCGGATATTTTGTGTTTTCAGTGTCTTGGGTAACGAGTCGTTACTTTTAACAAGTAACGAAAATACACTCTGCTCTGCGACACATGTTTTTGAACTGTAAAACGAAATGGAGCCAAAATTTTCGTTGCCTTCGCCAAATTTCAATAAAAATTCACATGAACCCACCAAGAATAACTTGCATTACCTTACTCCATGTGGTATGACTCTGCTTCCACGTGCGAAACAGCCGCCTCCCATGTACGGACCGCGTGGGAGCACGGTGCCCCCAAAGTTTTTAAAATCAGAGAATCAACAGGTAATACATGCAATTAACTTAGATAAAACATTATATTAATCCGACTATGTTCACAGAACAGCAATGTCGCACAATCAGTTTCAAGCAGAGCGCCGCCAAGTACCGAATACTGTGCCAACTGCAGCATGGAGTTGGCTACGGCGCAAGATATGAGACTGCATTTGGAGCAGCATGAGCAATGTCCTGCCGAGGATTGCAGCTTTGCAGCCATGGCCAGCATTTTGGAGCATCATATTGAGGCAAACCACATAACGGGCTTGTACAAAACCGTAAAAAAGGTTTGGACGCCTGAGGACGTTGCCGCCTGGCGTGCGGAACGTTGCAAGAGGTAAATATTCAATGTACAATTAAGTAAATGATTCGAGTTTAATATTTGATTGCAACGCAGATTTCCAACTGCGGCAAATGTGGAGATTGCCAAACAGGCCAAGGAGCAGCGCTTGAAACGCGGCGAGCGCCTTGAGGCATCTAAGACGCGCTTCGGTAAGCCGGAGGACCGGCGACGGACGCGTCCACAAACCAATCACAGGGATCATCCAAAGAACACTAAAAAGCCCAGAAACAATAGTAATACTCCGGTAGCACGAATAGAGCCTCAGAAGCCACTGACAACCGAAAAACCTATTGCTGTAGATGCTATAAGCCAACGTTCATCCTGCTCGTCCACGTTTCGCGGAACAAGCAAAATGACTGATTACAAACATGTTAAGACAAAGGAGAAAGACAAGGTGAATGCATTGAGCAGTATGCTGGGCATGTATGGAACAGACAGCGAGAATGAAGATGAAACATCGGACGCCGATAATAATGAAGAGGTTGATTTGACTCCAGTAACCTTGGTAGAACCTAAGTCAGCTATAGACACAATAGTCGAGCTAGGAACGGATGTGCAGGCCATAGATCTGCCAGCGCTAAAATGCCCTGTAATGCCCGTGAATGATATTGAAAATGGCTCAGGCTCTGGCGACGAAGGGCCAGAGGAATTGCCCATTGAGCGCAAAACTGAAACAGATCCAATTCCCAGCACAACAAAAGAACACATTAATCCAAAACCAACTGAAAAGTGCCAATCAAATACTATTTCAAATGTTAAGCGTCCTGCACCAAAGAAACTACACTCAGGCTTGAATTACAAGCGAGCGCGTCGCGTAAGCCACCAGAACACGATGCTGTCCAAGCTTCTGGCACCCGATATACGTCACGAGCGGAATGTTCTCCTGCAATGTGTGCGATACGTGTGTGAGCAGAACTTCTTTGGCATCGGAAAAGGCGGTAGCTTACCGGATTTAAGGTAACAGCCAAACAGATATTAAAAACGTAACTTAAGTTTAATGGGTACAAAAAATATCCTTAATTTAATCGGAATATGCTATCAGTTCGGTGGCAGGCCACCGCCCAATTCGGCGGCTATGCTGGCTGCATTACTGCCACTAGCCGTATTACCGCTGCCAGCTCCAGCGCCATCAGCTGCAGCTCCCGAGCCGCAGACGCCGCCGCCGGCTGCCTGTTGCTGTTGTTGTTGAGCTGCGGCTGCAGCTGCCTGCTGTTGTTGTTGTTGCTGTGCGGCAGCATGTTCCTGCTGTCGCTTCTGTTGCTGCCTGGCCGCATGAGAGTGCTTGGCCTTGGTCTCTTCCAGCTCACGTACGCGAGAGCGTGCGTGTTGTATGCGATGCCAGGCCATTTGCAACACCTTGGCAGAAGCATAGCCGGAACCCTCGTGCGGCTGGCCGGTAGAAACTTGTGTGAGATAGTTGATTTGTTCCGAGAGCTTCGACTCAACGCTAGACAGGCTTTTTAGAAATTGCTGAGACTGCGTCTCGGCACTCTTCTGCGATGACTTTTCCTTGCCGAGCTCTTGCAGCGCTTGCCCTTTGAGGTGGGATGAAGTTGTCAGTTGAAAAATTAATAACAAGAGTAAATGCCGCTTACCTGCACTCTGCATGCAAAGTATAATATCTTTCTCAATCTCGTCCAGTGCATGTATCTTATCCAGGGGATTCATGTTTTCGAGTTGAACGTTCAATTTGTTTCTATAGCTTCGATCTTGCAGAGCAAATGAGGCTTGTGTTTTGGCCATTCACAAAATCGTGCCGCACTTGAGGCGCGTTGCCAGGGCTGGCGATAGGCGTTTGCCATTCAATTTACATTTTGTTATCGAAGCTATCGATATATTGGCGCGATGATGCACTATTTCAAATATTCAAATTGAATTTGCAACATTTTCTGTTTTATTGTTTATTAGTTAAATTTATTATATTTAATAATTTACTTATCGGTTGAATTATTTAATTTCTAATGCCAAACCATGCGAACTTAAAATACTGTTTGGGCAACAACAAACAATTCTCATACAGCTCCACTGACTCTGGATTTATCTGCCAAATCATAAAGCCACCTCCACAATCGATTTGTTTGTGCAGAGCAAACTGTAACCGATCTGCAAAATGTGACTTGCACTGGCGACACTCGAGCATATGATCCCTTGTATCTGCTTTGAGAAACCGACGCACATTTCTTATCTCGTGCATGCCTTGAAATTCTCCAGCTACATCAGTTAGTATGAGAAATGTGGGCGTAGTGTTGACATCTTCGCTCCTGAGCAGGTATGGCACCGCATAGAGCTCCTTGGTGCTAGCACAGACACGCAAGCAATAGAGATTTACCTTCAGGGAGACTGGAAAGTGGCCAAAGCGTTGGCCGTGATAGCTTCTAAAGCTCTTTGAGAGGAGCTCAAGGTCTACACATGTCGTGTTTTTGTTATCCGTATAACGTGTATCGGATTTTACACGGTATTGTAATGGGATCTGTTGTTGTCCTTGCAATTGGCGCTTTACAGTCAATTTCAAGCGCTTTATGGTGCATGCCTCAAATGGAACGCGTTGCTGCACTAGCACAAAGCTGCTAATCTTCTCCAGCAATATTGAGAACACCATGTCCACCGTCTCCTTTATATCCAGATGATGGTCTATTTTTACAGGAGTGCTTTCGTAGTACATGTGCTGCTTGGACACATTCACATAGAACCCAACAGTCAACTCCAGCCGGCTTGCCTCATAAATCAGAAAACGCAGTAGCTGTGGTATGGCTTCTATGCCAGCCTCCAATAAAAACTCATTGGTGCGATCCAATGCACTCTCATCGCACAGCAAAAATGTTTCAATACGCTCCCGCTCGATGCGTTTCAGCAGTTGCTTCTCGTCCAAGCCCAAGTTGATGTGCTGATCATCTTGGCTCCCCAACCAATGATGGCTGTAGGGCTCATTTGCTCCGACGAGACTATGACAGGTCGGGCAGTTGATAATCTGGTTGTTGATCATACGCTGGTGACGAAAGATCCTCGTGTTTCCTGTCATCTCAAAGATGAAGCGCGATTGACAGCGACGTGACATTTCGAATGTTTCAGTTTGACTGTAGCCCGTTGTGTTGTGAAGTTGAGTTATATACAACTTTAATGGATAGTGGTCCAAGCTAGATTGGAATATTCAAGTGTACCTGTTAAGCCCCATAAAACCCTCTTACCTGTCTGACCCTGCAACAGCTGTGTTTCAGTGTGGACTACCTGCCGAAATGCGTTTAAAATCACGATCCTTAATTAATTTCAAGACTTTACAATCGCCTCGAAGTGTGAATCTCGTTGTTCTTCTAATATTAATCCCTGATCATAAACTTCTACCCTTTCGTGTATGTATATTTCCATATATATTTATCCGCGGTATATAAAGAGTATATTAAGTATACCTGATCTGTGTGTGCTTCGATTATTTGGTTTGAATAACCAGACTCAAATTGTCAAATTTGTAGACTTCATTATTAAAATGGATACTATACAGTCACCGGATAAACCTGCCCTTGAAGCTGATATTGCAACTGGTGGACTTCTAATAGGCATGTGGCTTATTGTGTCTCTCACGTGCTGCTGTGCTGTATTTTGGCCGGTCTTTGGTTGCATTTTGGCCTATTTTAGCTGCAAGAAACACTGCGATTACAACTCAACCAAATTGAAAAATCCAAATAAAAAAGCATCCGAATTGGATTCTTCCAGTGAAAGTTAGAGGAATTGGAGCCTCGAACCATTTGTGTTCTGATAACTTCAATCAATCGGAATGTAATAAAACTAAGCTTTAAAATTGTGTGTGCATATTAGCATATTATCTAGTCAATTCTCGTGAATATTAACATTTAAAACTCTCTTGTGGAGGGTATTATATGTATATGTTTAATGCATATTAAGTCTTGAACAAGGACCGACTCGATAGAGCTGTGTCCGTCTGTCGGCTTGCCTGTGTCAACGAGCAGATCAGGCCGGATCGGATCACTATATCGTATGGGTGACATGGGATTCGTTGGGTTGAAAAGTATAAATATAAATTAGTTACATTGGGTGTACTACTACGAATTTATTTTATTGACTCTCCAACGGTAAATAACCTAAGTTAATGCGCAACTGTTCGTATATCAAAAACAATAATATCGTAGCTGGTGCCTTGCGCACGATTGTCGGAGCCAAACCCCGATAAGGGCCCCAGAAGTCAAAACGCATCATATACTTTATGGCATGAACAACCGTGGGAAACTGACCGGGAGGTGCATTCATCATTAAAGTCTTGAGAACATCAAATGGCTGCGTTATAATCGCATCGATAATTGATGAGATAAATGAACTCTTTAAATGCAAATACACATCGTCATCCATCATAAATCGAGTGTGAAGCTCACTTTTGACCTGTTAACAAGAATAGCGCAAATAGAGTATAAATGCGGCAAATTCAGTTGAAACCGAATACACACATGATCGTAAACCGCAAGCTGACCGGTTGTCCCAATGGCTGATTTGAGAACCGCAGCGAAGCCACCATTGTATAAGGCCATCCAGCCTTCCTCCTTGGGAATGCGTATTAGCGCATCGATAAAATGTTTGTAGCTGGGATCATTTCGCATATATAATGTTGGATATGGCTTGAACACTTAACATACTTGCGCTTTCCATGATCGGCAACTTGCATATTGGTTTGCATGCGAATATTAATCACATCCAATGGTATACCAACAAGTGATCCGATAGAGCCCGAAATACTGGCCAATACAATTTTGCTTATTAAACTATTAGAAGAGCTAAATATTTCGAGGTCCTTGCCGCACTCATACAGAGAAAAACGCAGGCTAGTGCATGTCATTTGACGAATGGCAGCCGCAGAGAAGCCATCATAGAAGCCTAAATACCCTACATAGGGAGGGTAAACAGGATGATTGGACAAAGGCCAAGCATCCTTATCGTCTCACCTCTTATTTTAATGACTTTTATGGCTGTTTGTACCATTCCCTTCTTTGTCGTCTGTGTTTGCATATGCGTCTTGACTAAATCGAAAGGCGCCACTACGCAAGCTACGCAAGTGGATGCCACACCACCGGACCACCATCGTGGTCGTCGCAACTCCCGATCCTCAGTGTCAGCCAGTACCTTACAATGTGCGTATTGCTATGACTCAAATAAGACTTTGCACCAATGTGGCAAAAGCTTCAACTTATATTCTCGAGTTAATGTAAAAAATATGTAAATCTTTGTACCTACTTTGGTGATCCGTACCGATGAATTATACATATCAGCTTGGCAATATCAGTTTATCTTCCTTCTAAAGGATTCCACAATAATCAATGTCTATGTACAGCTAGTGTTTAAATACGAATACTATCTGGGTATTCAATCTTCCGTGGGTCATTGTTAGTCGTTGTTTCTAGTCGTTCGTTATTTCTCCATTGATTACAAGATGGATATTTTTTTCCAGTTTCTGGAACCAATTGTTGTTCAGACAAAGGCCTTTGCTGTCAACGTCACACAATAAATATTTTGATATTTATCTAAATTTTGGTCAATATATAGTTTTCAACATTGAATCATATTTCCGTTTCTCGGCAATTTACTTTAACGAAATTCAACTGATCTGAACCAGGCTTACCTTAAACTTCGAGCGCTTCCACAAAACTATGCCAAATCACCCGACGAAATTGCAACATCTGCAGCCAACTTTTGGGGCACTGCAAGGTTGGACCTAGCTTCCTAGTTCCTTCATTGCATTTGTTTATTAATTCACTTCACACTTCAACGTCAGATTGCAATTAAATTGCCCAGCTTAGTGTGGCAGCTAATGGACGGAAGTTGAGAAGCGTTACAGAACAGTGTAGTCTGTACCAGTTTGCTTTGAAGCTGAAAAATTGTTGCAAAACATAGGCCCTGAACACCAGAAAAGGACATCAAACTGGCGAACTCCTACACAGTGCTCAATGCCTCGGATACCAGCCGAAAGTAAATAGCACATGTGAATGTTTAACTTGATCCAGAAATATGCAACGGCTTCCTATTACAGACTCCGTCCGCGCTGGTGGAGCGGTGGTGTAGCCGGCGCCTTGACGCAGTTTGTAGTGGCGCCCTTTGATCTGCTAGAGACACGCATGATGTTTCTTAAGAAAGACACAACCATGATTAAACTAACGAAAACAGCCATCCAAAGACACGGTGGGTGACTAATTGGGCATTACTTGCAAATTCCTGTAGACATATATAATTGAATGTCTCGTCAATCGGATTCACTTGCAGGATTCATATCTCTATATGATGGTCTCAGTGCTCAACTCCTACGACAAGTTACCTATACGACAATGCGATTTCACCTGTACGATTTGGGTAAGCGGTATGTTAATGAAGAAGAGTTTCTGCACAAAGTATGTGTAGCGAGCGTATCTGGCATGATGGCGGCTGGTGTTGGCATACCCTTTGAGTTGATTAACACTCGTATGCATGTGGATCGAGCGCTGAAAGTGAAATATAGGCGAAACTATCGAAATGTCTTTGATGGTCTCTACAGGGTTTGGCGGGAGGAGGGCTTTACTGCACTCTACACGGGCGGTTTTAGCTCATTTTTTCGCTCCACGGTTGTTACTATTGGCCAAAATGCGATGTACGATCAGGTCAGCTATTATCTTTGTTTTATCTTTGTTATAATATCATTAGTAACTAATATCTGCAGAGCAAAACTATGTATATGCATTACTTTAAGTTGGGAGATGATTGTAAGGTGCTGCACTTGTTGAGCTCCCTGACAGCAGCCATAATATGTGCTCCTTTGGTGCAGCCCATAGAGATTTACAAGACGATGCAAATGAGCAAGGGAAGCGGTCATTTGAATACCACCTCTGAGAAGTTAAGGTTCATGATGCGCTTTGGTTTTAGAGGTCTATTTCGTGGCATTGCGCCGAGTATGTTACGTATGATTCCGTATACAATTATTATGTTCCTGTTGTATGAGCAAATACGCTTAAATTTTGGTTATTATGCAGAAGACGACCTGGACTGAGTGTATATATTCAAATAAACAAACTGAAACAATAACATATATTGCTGTGCTTGTAATTGTAAAATGGTCTTGTGCAAATATTCAGAACGAGATGGCGATCTAGCCATCGGTTGTTGAGGCTGCCCAATAATCTATATACATACTTTACGAGCTTGTATTTTTCGGTCTCTTCCGATCCAAGCTTCTTTTTTCAAATTACAACATGTTTTCTTATATGATTTACAGCAATTAGATGGATTGTCTTTCGGCGTATGCGCTTGCAATCCGAACGAGCACAAAAATCATAAGACTTATTTAACCGGAATGTTAACACCCGTATCAATCAGCCCATCTACGAAACCCAATAGTATTCACACTAAAAATTTGTTTTTTTGCTGAGGCGACCTAGGATATCTTAAGCTCTGCTTGATTGCGACACGCCGCACAAGTGCGAGTAAGTTTTGCATAGCTCATAATACTCTTCAGCTTCTTTAATAATTTGTCTTTTGTACACTCTACAGAAATGTTCAGATCCAGCAGCTAGTGCAGATAAATGACAATCGACTTAATAGTTTCAATTTTTGCCCAAGCTCCTTCGCCGAACGCTCCGCTAAGAGCAAACATCATCGGTAAGTCCCAATTTACGTTTGATAAATAGTTTTCTATAGTTACTAAGACGGATTTTTGGGAAACTAGTCTAGCAGGTGGGAAAAACTAAACATTGCTGTGTTTTACTTCATACATTTAAAATACATAATAGCTCCCGCCAAATCGAGATTTCAATATACAAGTTGACTTGCCATCGATTGTTGGCAGCTCTAATTCGCTCGAAGCGTTGACGATAGTTAACAAATCGAACATTCATCGTCAATTAGTGTCGTTGCTGTAGGAATCTAGGCAAACATGCCGGCATCGCGTTAGTGGCAACATCCAATTGCTTATATTTAATAAAGTGCGAAATAAAGTTACGTTGCGTCGCCGTAATCGCAGTCCTGATAAGAGACACCAAAACAGACACCAATCCCGACCCATTGCTTACAAAGTTGTCATGCTTACAAATGCTGAAAGATATTCAACTTATTTTCCCAAGGTGGCATCTTCACGTTTCCATAGCATTGCATTCTCGTAAGTTGGCAGCGCCTCGCTTAACGGCGCTTTTGTGTATATATGGACATTTAAAACACTATTCATTTAAATTTGGTAAACTGGCTTGAATTTGAATCCTTTTTTTTTATGAAAACCTTTAGAATGTTTCCCAGAGTGAAGGTTAATATAGTATTAGAATAAGACGTCTTAGTTACACTTTCTTAAAACCAGCTAGACAAATTTAAGCCTGAAGCCTTAGATATGCAGGAGATATGCATTTGTAATTTATGGAAATAGACGTAGCTTGCGAACATTGCACCATGCAAATATTTCCCTTTACTCTGTTTACAGGGTATTAACTAAAATCACAAGCTTGCAACAGCTACCCACTCAAGTGGAATCACAAGTTACCCTCTTCCAACTCTCTTGCGGCATATAAAACGGCTGCACACACGAGGCAAGAACGTTAACTTCATTAGGCTTCGACAAGAGTAACCTGTTAGCAGGTTGCCAGTCAGTCTTATGCTTCCGCTCGGCTACCGGAAGCTGCGTCAAATATCTTAACTGCCAAAACAAGCAGCTTCGCGTATAATTCAATTGCCTTTCGGCTTACAGAATTGTCTAACCACATCATATGTGACATATGTATGTTCTGTCTGATGTTTTTTTTTTGACAATTTTATTATTGCATTTTCAATTTCAATTTTCAGGCTCAGCTGCGCGTCAGCCTGTCTGTTAGGTTTCACGAGAACATTGATGCGGCATGAAAGCCCAAAAACCGCATTAACAATTTAATGAGCGCTCAAGGAGCTGCTTGCCACTTGGCTAGTCAATGACTATGCAATTTTTATTTGCCCTTCATTTACGTGAATTGGTATTATCATCTAAATCAGTTAGTTCAATAATTTTTCAGTCGCCAATTTGTTATATACGAAAGCAATGTTACTTTGCTCAGCTGAGTAAAGCAAATCCTATTTGTATATACACATTTTTAAATGTTAGCGTATAAAAAGTGCTGTGTTTTAACAATTCGATAAGCCAAAAAAAGAAAAAGAATATAATAAAAGAAAATGTTCATGGATAGATACCCAACAGAAATCACAAATGAAATGTTTCAACTGCTCCCCTACTGACAGCATCCAATTTAACTTGATTAACGCAATCATGTGCATAATTTGGCCTGGCTGGAGACGAGCTCTGATTTAATATTGCCATGGCCAAATGTTTTCTTAAAGCTGTAACCTTATCGGTTTAACATTAGGCCAACACCATTTTCACGCCCACTTTGCCTTTTGTTGTGGCCCGCAAAGCCAACAAACAAAACCCAATTTACATAGAATAGCTAGCGATTATCGCAACAGCCCGCCTTATGGCTGCCGCAAAGTGCGCCTGCAACATTTTAAATATGCGCCAACGTTGTGCCTCGTTTTGTTGCATCTTCAGCTGTGCTGCATGCACTTCCGGCTAGCGATGCGCTTCCTCCCCTTATACGATACTCAAATGACCCATTTTCAATTTTTTCTTAAGAAAATTATTATTTGCCTCTAACGACACGAGCGATTATAAAATAATTAAAAATTATACATTTTCTTTACTGCATAGTTCCAAAGTAAATTCCAAGTACTCGTGACACGAAAGAAAGCAGCACAAACTTTCAGCCATAGCTTCGTAGAACCTTTCTTTGAGAAGCAATGGCTAACTTGGCTAAGGGACAAACAAGTATAATCTAGTCGGAAGTGCCCGACTAGCAGATACTATTAGTATATCGCTGAGCTAATGTTATAGTCTAGCTAACTTAGAAAGAAGACAAAGTTAAGATAATAGAAATATCGATTCTTATCGATTGGAAACAAAAACGTCATATTTTTGTCTGTAGCTAATATAGTCTCTTCACGCATATATTTGATAAGGGTCAGAGAAGTATTTTATCGCCAGTTAAGTACATTGGCATAAGGATATTATACCCTTTAAGCCGTTTTCGATGAGTTCATGGTATGCAAAAAAAAAAGGATGAAATTTGTATGCACTACCCTTGCATAATATTGACGAAGCCGATGCTCAAAGTTTACCCTCGTATCCTGCTGCTGCGCTGCTCGCAACGTGCACTTGAACCTTCAATCTGCCGCCCTGATCCCGGGCGTTAACTTAGTTGTTATTATACCCGCGGCTGGTCGGTTTACACCAGCCCATAAACGTCTTGTAATATAATCATGTTAAACAAGTTGATATTTTGGGCTGAAGCAAAATTTAATGCAAACGAGCTAAAATAGTTATTATAGATAGAATATCTTTGACATATTCGAGTTATTCAGTGTTGAGGTTGTCTAATAGTGCCGCATTGCTGTGTTAATTCAGCTGAAATGCATTTTAGCGAAATCATCTAAAGCTCATCGCTTACAAATTCTCTTTAAGCTGACATAAGCCCAAACACATATCGCCTCCCATTTAAGCGGCAGGTAAGAGCCAAGAAATGCGTCGCATGCATTTCAAATGCAATTCAATTTCCTTTTGCCTGGCATCGTCCTTGGTCCTGTAGCTAACCAACAGCCACGTTTTCACGTCGCTTGGGTACTTTCGTTATTGATTGTTACCCTTAATTCTCCCAACAGTTTTAGAACATCCGCAGCGCAGCCAAGTTGGCGTTGCAATTTGACATTTGTTTAATTTACAATTGTCAGGAGCAGGTTCTGTACGGATACCTGCCTTTTGGTTGGGCTTTTTCCGAGTAACAGACCTATCTTGTAAGGTTTGTAATTTAAATATAATTGCGATTCGAGGACGTGACGCCTTTCACACTATTAACATCTTGTTAAGCGTGTAGCTCACATCGAACAACATTGATTAAACCAAATTGGATTATATGCAATAAAACACGAGATTCGTGGTCTGTATTTGATTCTGTGTTTGGCTGTTGGCTATATGTTTAATTATATGTATATAAAGCCCGGCCTTGCATTGGCTACGATTTTTGTCATCACTTTACCACCTACCTCTTGCTCGTTGAAGTTGAAATTTGAAACCTTTAAGAAGAGGTGGATTTTAGGCAATGTGTTTTCAGTAAATTTGTACACAGATTCTGGAAAATGAGTTTCAAAGTGTGTCAGACGATAAACATAAGAGTTTCAATCAACTAATTTCCACTAATTTTCCACCGTCGCGGGTGAAAATACCAACCATTCATATATTTTTTATAAATAAGTTCCATATATAGCTTAGTTTTAACTTGAGTACCGATTCGTTATTCGAGCAACTATTTAAACAGCCTTGAATTGTTGATATTTTCCATTGCTCTGTTCCACATGTTTCCGTGTAAATTTGCCAGTTGCATTGTGTATGACGAAAATGCCTTGCCTTGATATTGATAGTTCTTGTTGTTTGCGCTGGCAGGTGAAAGGTAATTGAAGTTTCTCTACAACTTTTGCAATCAAACAAACCGACAGCTGCTCGCTTTATCTGTCATCAGCGACGCCGCCTACGGCTCTGTTTGGGACTTTGATGTATATGCCATGAGTTTTTCTTAATGACCCGACCCAATTGGTAGCCCACACACCGGTTGCTCTAAATGTGAGTGTGTGTCAGATTTGAGAAAAGTTTTTGTGAAACTTTCTTTCTATCTGCAACACCAACAGTTGCTCACAGTTGGGCGGTTTGTTTACACTCGTTCAGTTGGCCGCAAATTATTTGCATGTGGAAAGCCCAACTGCCATTCTGGAAAATTTCGTCGATTAATCTTGGGAAAGTGTGTGGGATTTGTCTTTGCTGTGCGGGCGGTATTTCTGTTTGCTTTCAGTTTGAAAATATCAATTTTGCACTTACAAGATTTTATAGTTGCCCGTTTTTTGTTTGACCCTCAGTTTGTTTAGCTTGTTGGTTTGGCCCAGGGGCCAACTGTGGCCGTGGCAAAGAAGTTGAGTGGCAAACACAAGGCTCACCTAGAGTTGCGTAACTCATGAGTGAACGACAGAAATTACTGCTTAGAAAACTGAAAATTTAAATATGAAAAAAAAAATGAATACTATAATACACAGATTTCTTTTTTGAGTACGCAAATTAGGGTAGCAAGCAACAAAGTGCCTCCCTTCACGATCTGAAACAGCTCGCCTTTAGATTCGGCTCTGGTCTAAATTTAGCTATAAATTATTTAAAAATATTTTTAAATTTGGGAATTTATTAACATGGTGCTATCGATCTATATCTCTATATTGGTAGTAAATGTTATAAGGATATGGATTTTATGTGGTTATTTGCTGCGCATCACTGTGAATAGTTGTAGGGACAGTCGCTTCCCAAGAATTTCAATCAGCTTTGACCACGTCGATGTTTACATTGCCCTCACAAATATGAGCTGCAGTCTCTCTTGCTTATCAGGTGATTAGTGCTATCAGCGCTGGCGGCCATGTTGGCAAGTTCAATAAAGACAGGATCAAAACGAGTATGTGCCTCGTGCCTCCCGGTGTGTCTGTGTGCGTGTGTGGGTGTGTGGGTGTGTGGCTTTTGTTTACGCCTTTGGCATTGTAAACATAAATAAAAGAAAAAAGTAAAAGTAAAAGAACATGGCCAAGAGCAGTCGTGGGCTTGCCGTTGCCAGGAGCAGGCAAGCGTGTAAATGCAATTTCCGTTTGGTGCAGCCGGAATTTCGTGCACGCCATGGGAACTCCCAGTGACTGTTTGACTGACAGCAAACCAACAACAGCAACTGGCAGCAGTGGCAGTTATCGGGCCAACATGGTGCGACGCCAGGCTGATGCACTTTCTCCGGATCCAGGGCATCCGGCAAGCCAAGCGCACGAAAAACAATGCATTACTCTTGAAAACAATTCCATTCCATTGGCTCGCCATGCAACTGTAATTAGTTTAAAACATTTATTTTTTAATTATAATGTGGTGAATTAATTCTGAGTCTGAATGCTTACACGTGAGAATTATAATAAATATTACGAGTATTATTTTGATTTACCCTAAAATCAACAGAGCAACTGCACTTAAGCGCAGGGTATTTGGTCAGTCGTCTAGTTTCAGCTATATATTCGTTTTTTAATATCTATTTTTTCCCCTCAATTTTTGACATATTCATTTTCCATAATATTGAACTCATTGAACTCATTTCGCATCCGAGTGCAGCATTATTGAAAGCATCCATTGTTATTGTAGACCTTCGCGCTTGCTCTGAAAAATATGGGTTATTGCTTTTTGTGCCCGCCCACTCAGTGAAAAGAGTATATTGGTTTTGTGCAATGTACGGAATGTATATATCCCCATATAAGATTTTACGAGTATATGCTATAATCTATCTACATTAAGACAATTTAAAACTGTTTGTCTATAACAACTCGCGATTCCCATTTCTACGACTGTTTATTTCCCTATTAAATAATAGTTCGATTCATTATTGTATCTTTCCATCTCTCTTATTATTCTTTATATATATAATTGAACGAGTATTGTGCAGTCGGCTGTACCCGACTCAATATGCTTACTTGTTATATTGCTGCTTCTTGTTGTGGCTTTCAATTTCTGAGGCTGCTGCTGTTTCTGCTTCTGTTGCTGCTGTTGGGTTAACCCCACGTATTTTATGGGAATATTGTGCGCAACATTTTTTATAGTTGGGCAAAAAAATGACCAAATCTCTTTTGATTTGTTAGTCGTGCGTAATAAGTTTAAGTACAAGCATATTTTGTGTTTTGAAATAACAATAGTTATTCATTTTCATTTGTTTTTTTTTTTTGAGTAGATGGAACATCAAAAAACAGCTCGGTTGTATTTTGTGTGTAGCCTGGTGTTGATAATACGTAGCTTGATTTTAAAATATAAGCCGATTTTAAGCTGGGCGTATTTCATTTTTATAACTTGTTGGAAATGCCTAAAAGCGAAAGTGAAAAGTCGTAAAAACACGCTTATGATTCGTCCCAAGTGCAGTCATCAGCTGAGCGCCTAAACCACGCTGATGCCTGAAATGTTTCTGGGTTTTTCTTGTCTTGCTGTCCAATTTATATGCTGAATATGTTTATGCAACAAACTGTGGCAAGTTTAAGGCGTTTGTGGTGGCTAACCTGAAACGAAAAGGCGACTTTAAAGTGACCTTTCATTACTAGCAATAATTAAAGATTATATCACAAAAAGCATTTATTTTAGGTTTTGTATAAGTTTATATTAATTGTTCGAGTATCGTCATAAAAATCTGTTTCTTTTCAATTCTGATGACTGTTTTGTAGCTGCCACAACAGCAATAATAACGCAATATACGCAATTTCCAAACACACAATGTGCTCCAGCCACTTGGTTAAAAGTAATTTGTGCGGCAATTAGTGTACGAGCAGGAAGGAAATGCTTGTGGATGTCGTCGTATGCCGCACAAACCCCAGCCAAATGTGTAGCCATGCTCAAGATTTTCACAATTTTGAGTGCGCCACAGAACAAGGAGTACGCATACCAGCGACAGTCACGTGACCTCAGTTCCTGTCACGACTCAAATCTTATGTTGTTGGGCCTTTAGCAACATCCTTTCAAGTACGAAATCATGTGGGGAATATACTTATATTCAAATGATTATTGTGTGATTAGATATATAAACACTTTTAGCTTTTAAATCTTTAAACAAAAAGCTTAAAAGTTGTATTACTTGTATTCTACAAGTCGACAAGAAAGGTCGCTGGTTCGGTTTACGGTTCGATTTTCGTTAAAACCTGGAAGTGTTGCATAGGTTGTTAGATACTTTTTCAACATTTGCCTGTTGTACTGGAAATATGACAACTTCTGACATTTATTCCAATACAATTTGCGGGCTATATTGGATGTCTATCCGACAATTTGTTTCAACAATTTGTTAAATATAATCCCAATAATTTTTTGTTCGAATATGGCTTTGTTTTCGTTTTGATTCTGTTTTGATTCTGTTTTTGATTTCGGGAACTTGTTTGGTTTAGTGTTGAGTTCAGATTGAAACGTTTATGGAATTCCGTGTTTTGTATTTAATTTAACTTTTCGCCTTTTCGATATACACGACATGTTACACACACATCCCTAAGGAGCATTGGCTAAAATACATGCTTATACACACGCACGTGCACACACACTTGCACCTTTTATATTATGCCTGATGGCACTTGAGACGTCGACGTCTCAGCTGACGACAAAGCGACAAGTTGAAAGCAAACAGCAGTGGAACAAAACAATGCATACAGCAGCAACAGCAGCAACAGCAGCAACAGCAACAAAAGAAGCAACAACAATAACAACAGAGGGAACAACATGAAGAGCAAGAACATTCAATGAAATGTTAAAGCAAAGCACTTACAATAAAAAAAGTGTCGACCGAGTCATAGAAGTCGTTACATGGACGCACTTAAATGGTCGTCCAGCACTTGGCTCATGGGCATCCAACAACTCGCGCGTTGCCTTGACTGCGGAGTCGAGCTCTGCCAAATGCTTCCTGTTCCCTGATGGTATTTTAGCTGCTGCGTCTTTTTGGCTCTTCATGACATCGGAATGCCTTTATTGTTGGCTTCCTGCAGCTTGTTGTCCACTTGGCAGCTGCTTCCGCACTCGTTGTCGTTCTCGTTCTCGTTGCTGTTGCCCCAATTGCAATCATATTACAAGCCACATTTAATTTAACTTGTTGCGGAAATCAAAAAGATACTCCTGTTCTCCTGTTCTGTCCCCACAGACAAGCACGCACACCGCAGTTGTGCTGCAGCTGATTTGGGCATCCTTTTGCATTTCAGCAACTGCTTCAACATATACGCACTTTGCGGTCAACTGTTGGCTTTCAGCTTGTACTTTAATGGGCCGGAAAAAAACATATATAGCCAACACAATGGTCGTTGCTCTGCACACCAAAAAAATCACGGCGTCCTCTGGCTTTGTTCTTTACCAATTGCCAAAAAAAAAAACACACACACACACACACAACTCACTCGTTTAATTCCCCAAATCGTCTTTTGAGCATTTTTGGACAGCGCATGCGTCAATTTCGACTCCAAGCGTTGCCAGGCAGCAGCAGCAGCAGCAGCATTCCGCATATGTTGTGCAACATTCCATGTTTTTCATAGAATATCTCAAACCTGTTGATTAAATAACACGTTTTTAACGTTTTGTATTGATGGAAAATAAAACAATAGGTACGACTACAGGATTTGACAATTAACTACATTTTAAATATATTAATTATTTATAAATTACATTTGTTTTATATTCATTAAAGTTGGAAAATCTTCAACATTCACAGCAAAATAAAACGTAAAATGTTTTCAATTTTCAATTATCTATATCGAAAACTTTTCGCCACCGTCTTTTGGAAATTGTTTCTGGTTCGAATTGTTGCTGGTTCTCTTGTTCTTTAAGATGGGCTAGGCTAATAACTTAGCCTTGTTATTGATTTAATAAAACTAGTTCAAATGATTTGTTCAATATATGTTTCAGCCTCTTGCTGCTGTTTGCATATGGCGTTCAGTTTTGAAATTCCTCTCAAAGGACAATAGAACTTGATGGCAAGTGTTTTGACAACCGCTGATCTGCAGACGATTGTCTCCCTGCGATGTGCGAGCATTCGTCAAGCGGCCCGCTGTCTGTTTGTCTGCAACCAGCTGGTTGTGTCTTTGCCATGTGCTAAGAACCTGAAATGAGCCTTTTTGATCCGCTGCCAATTACGTGCGCCACAGACAGCTTACAAAATGCTCGCCAAGGGCCATAAAAGGCGACTTTCTAGACGCCATTTTATGCTTTGTGGCAAAGCGCCGCATTATTCCAAGAAAAGTGAAATGAAATGTTTGAAATCCTTTGATAAGTAGTGGTCAGCCCGAGGGATTTCTGAGTCAACTTGTTGTCTCAGCCCACTTGGCCAGAACTCGTTGTTCATGCCCTTTTATTTGCTTTGATGGACACATCTCGAAAAGTTAGCAGAACTTTCAACAGGCTACGCAAAGAACGACCTCGATATTGAAAAACCAAAAAAAAAAAAAATAAAAAAAAAATAGATA